CCCCTCATTCCTGTTGGACTAACTGGTAGGATGGGTCTGAGCTCTGGAGCCTCCACTTCAGAGGGCAGACTGATCTTCATTGGTCACCTTTGGATTCAAGCCATGGTTCAGGGGGCTTCTTAGGGCAGTTCCTCTTGAGGTAGCCTGGCTTTTAACAGTGGTAGCAGATGAATGCAGTCATCGAGTTCTTCTTAGGGCATTGGGAATCAGACTTAGGGTCTGTTTCTCTTAGTGCTGCAGCAAAAGCAGCTGCTTTTTCTCGGTCTCTTTGTTTTCTTACCTTGGCCTCCTCCTCGTCACGGCTATAGAATACTGAGGAGGCAATTCTTACTAACATCTCAAGTGAGCCATCTTCTAAATACTTTTGAAACAGAAAAAAATTTTATATTAACTCAATGCAAATGAACTGTTTTGACTAATGATTACAGAGAAAGAGTAATTAATTCAACAGCTATTAACTAAATATTTGCCATGTAACAGGTACTGTCCTTGCTGGTACTGTCCTTGCCAAAATGATGAAGCAAAATAGGTTCTTTCTGTCACAAAGCTTAAATACACAGTGGGGAAGAGAATCATTAGACAAATAATCCTATAGAAGAAATGTGAAATTGCAGTTTTGTGATGGATAAGATTAAAGAAGGTGCTCTGTCCTTTGGGAGAGCCTAAATTAGAAGAATTTGACTTGGCACAGGAGAATCTGAAAGATGAGTAAGAATTCAGGAGGCCCTGTAAGGAGAACATGTAGTATGAAAGAACCTGTAAGTGGTAGTTACATATGGGACTTGTGGTAAGAGAAGAGTGGCTGAAGCAGAGGATGCAAGGCTGAAGTGGTTTCAGATGATGCTAGGGAAATTGGCAGGGCATGATAACTTGGAGCCTCATAGGACAGGAGGCTGTTGAAGTGATTTCAAGTAGTAGAGTGATTGATCAGGTTTGCCCCTTACTCCCTTTCTTTTGAACTGGGGATTGAACCCAGGGCCTTCTCACTGAGCTACATCCTCAGTCCTTTTTTTTTAAATTTTGAGATAGGGTCTCATTAAATTCCCCAGGCTGGGTTTGCATTTGTAATCCTCCAGTCTCAGCCTCCCAAGTGCTGGGATTACAGGAGTGTGCCCCCATGCCCAGCCTCACACTTGCATTTTGAAGAGATCACCCTAACTGGAATCTAGGAAGGGTAGGTTAAACAGGGCAAGACTGGGTGTAGAGAGACCTTCTCAGATATTATTTCTGTTGTCCAAGAGAAAGACAGAAGTGGATGGAGTGAATGGAAAAGATTTGATTTGAAGAGAAAAATGTGTCATTTGTTTAAGGATAGTCTTTGAAACCATGTGTAGATGGACTGCTAAGAAAAATTTTTACACTGAGAAAACTTAGAACTGAACCTGAAATGAGGGCAACAGGTTTAGGGTCATTGACTCTATTATATAATATATTGGCCTATAATTTTCATTTCTTGTCAGGTGGCATCAGGGTTATGACAGTTCCTAAATGTACTGGAAAGTTGTTTCCTCTTCTGTTCTCAGAAAGGTTTGGTATAAGGTGAGACATTTTTGTTCCTGTTGGTCTGTTTGTTTGTGGGTTTTGATAGTAAGGTCATTTGCATTTGGAATTTTTCTTGTGGGAAATTTTGAATGATAACTTGCATTTGTTTAGTAAATAAAAGAATATTCAGATTTTCAAATTTATTTATATCCATTTTCTAAGTTTGTTTTTTTAAAGAAATGCCCATTTCACCTAAATTGTCAAACATGCTGGCACATCTAACCTAATCATCTGTAATCATCATTTCAGCATTCTTGGGATGTGTAGAGATGCTCCTTTCATTCTTTATATTGGTCATTTGTATTTTCTTGCTTTTTGTCTTGATCAATCTTGCTAAGAAATTATAAATTTTGTTATTCTCTTAGGAAAAAAAAAACCTTCTGGCTTTGTTCTTTTCTTGGTGTATTTCTTTATTTTCTCTGCCTTTACACTTCATTGATTTCTGCTCTGTCTTATTTCCTTCTTTCTACTTCTTTAGAAGCTGTGATTTTTGTGATTTCTTTTTAGGTTTTACAGATAAAAATCTTAGGTCATTGATGTTATAGTTACACCCCTTTTGTAACATGAGCCTTTAAAGTTATAAATTTCTGTTAAGCTAGTTTCTCCACAAGTTTTTGTCTCTTAAATTAGAATGCTTTCTGATTGTTTCTTGGAGTACATGGTTCAGTTAGAAGTACATTTTGTAACTTCCATACCTGAGGAGATTTCCTCCTTATACTTTGTTATTGACAGGCGATATAGAAGCACAGTGATTAATGATCATTGGCAGGGACGTAGCTGTTATATATTGCAAGCATAAACTAATTTAAAAATTTGCTGGGCGTGGTGGTGCACACCTATAATCCCAGAATTAGAGGCTGAGGCAGAAGGACTGATGCAAGTTCAAGGCCAGCATGGGCTACATAGTGAACTCAAGGCCAGCCTGAACTACACAGTGAGACCCTGTTTCAAAAAAAAAAAAATCACTGACAGAGAACCAAACTGCCTGGTTTTATATCTCTGCTATGTGATCTTGAACAAGTATTATGTTAAAAATGGGGTTAATAATAACACCTGTATCAGCATTGTTTTGAGGATTAACATAATGAATATTTATACATTTGAATAACACCTGACCCATAATAGATATCATGTAAGTATTTGATAAATTTTTTTAAAAGGATGCTAGCTTGTATTGTGGTCCAAAAAAATGTTTGGTATGACTTTATTTTTTTTGAGATTGTTTTTTAGATTTGTAGCTCAATGTTTGATTATTTTTACAAATGTTCTGTGTGTGCCAAAAATGAATGTGCATTCTGTAGTTTGATGTGTAGATAGGTTGTAGATAGATCATTATGAAAAATTTGCTAGCCAGGGGTAGTGTCATAGCTCTACCGCTAAGTGCAAAGGCAGAGAAAATAAAGAAATACACCAAGAAAATCCTAGCACTCTGGGAGGCTGCAGCAGGAGGATCAAAAGTTTGAGATCACTCTGGGCAATTTAGCAAGATCCTGTCTCAAAATAAGGGGGTGAAGTGCTAGGAATATAGCACAAAGCAAACGCCCTGGGTTCAGTCCCCAGTACTGGAAAAAAATGCTGACAAATGGAAGTTTCTCATTCTACCTGGTTTGGTTTGGTTTTGTTCTTCTCTGGCTTTATGTTAATTTTTTTTTTTTTTTTTTTTTTGGTCTTTTTGAGACAAGATCTCTCTATGCAGTTCAGGCTGGCCTTGAGCTCACTTTGTAGCCCAGGCTGGTCTCAAACTCGCAACAATCCCCCTACCTAAGCCTCCCAAGTGCTGGGATTACAGGCGCGCACCACCACGCCCAGCCCTGTTAAATTAGATAGAACCACCTAAGACATTACTTTATCCCTCCTAGAGAGTTCTGGGCACCACAGTGCTCCCTCCTACTGTGGTTATCTTGCCTAGAACTCCCTCTTGCTTTCACTCTGTCTGAATGCATGCTGTCATTCCCATATCAGTCACAAGTTCTTTGGGGGTCACTGCATGCCCACACATTGATGTGCTGCAGGAAGCAAGGTGCACCAGACAAGATCCAGACTGTTTTGTCCAGCAAAGAGGACAGCAGATGCAAGTGAATTTATTGTGGGAAAAACTTCACGGGATCTAAGGCAAGGGACATAGAGAAGGGAAGCAACCTTCTATAGAGTCACCTTAGGGCTGCAGAGGCAGAGGAAGGCAAAACTGAGGCTTGAATTAGTGCCTTGGAGACCAAGTGACTCAATTCAGGGGAACTTCAGACACTCAACCCTGCCACATGGTGGATTGTAAAGCACCTTTTAAAAATTTGAATAACATATCCAGATGTCATAACGTACAACACGCCAGAGCAGCTGATTTTTTTTTTTTTTTTTTTTTTTTGGTTTTTTTCTCCGGTACCGGGAACCGAACTCACGACCTTGCGCTTGCCAGGCAGGCGCTTTGCCCCTGAGCTAAATCCCCAGCCCCCAGAGCAGCTGATTTTGTTTGCTTGTTTTTAAGAAGACAATAATAGCAAGCTAGGTGTGGTGGTACCTGCCTGTAGTCCCAGCTACGGGGGAGGCTGAGACAAGAAGATCATTCACTCCACAAGTTCCAGACCAGCCTGGGCAACATAGTGAGACCCCATCTAATTAAAAAAAAAAAAAAAAAAAAAAAGAACAAGAATGATAACGCTAGTGTAATTGTCCTCACTGGGTCCCAGGGATGCAGTGCAGTGGGAGTTGCTGTGTCTGGGTCTCAGGAAATCGGGAAGCTGCCTTTTGGGTGTCTGCCAGTCAGTGCATTTGCTGAGATTAAGGTCCCTTGGATCCTACAGCCCACGTGTGTTTGTGCTTGTCCCCACACAGGGAAGCTCTTTGTGCTGGAGTCTCAAAACAGCTCTCAGGGCCTGGACCTGGAGGCAGCTCGGCTTTCCTGTAAGAGCAGGGGCGCCCACTTGGTGTCTGCAGACAAGCTGCGCAGGGTGGTCCAGGACTGTGCCTTCTCGGTGTGCACCACGGGCTGGCTGGCAGATGGCACCCTCGGGTGAGTTCTCCTTTCCACCTTGCCCTGACTACCCCATCAGGGGTTAGATGGGGGCTCAATAATTGTCCTGGGGAGGTACCAGGATAGGTAAAGTACAGTGATCAGAGGCTTTCAGCACATTCTTGTTTCGGAAAAACATTCATCTGGAGTTATATCACAATTCTTCCCTCTTAGTTTCTTATTTTGAGTTTTCTCTTTAAGTTATAAAATTTCGTTATAAAAATTTCAAGTGACACAGACATGTGTAAAATGAGTTTTCTTCTTCTTCCCCACCTCAGAGGGTATAGCTGTTAATGTAACTGTTCAGTATATGTTCTTTATAGCCTTTTTCCTGTGGATACTCATCTGCATGTTCATGTGTAGGAACATGAGATGGAGGTTTTGAAACATAGCCACCAAGGGTAACAGGGAATGAAAATTATCCAAATAGGGTATATGCATGTATGAATCTGACAAAATTAAACTCATTTACCTGTATAACCAATAAAAAGCAAGAAATTAAATAAATAAATTCAATTTTTAAAAAATAAAGGAAAATGCTCAGAGAATAGTGCCTGGCCCAGAATGAGCACTATGTATGCGTTTATTAAAAATAAGCATTGTAGGAGTGAGCGAGTGCTCCAAGAGCTGCTGGTCCAGCAGTTCGAGTCGTGCTTTACTCACACCACCACGGTTCCCAGCTGAAACTCACGGAGAGAGCCAGGTATTTCCCATGTACTTCCTGAGGGCAGAGCGGGCGACCCGGACCCCGCCACCATTACAGACTGAGTTTCTGCCCTCCAGGCACCCATGGCAGACAGGAAGTCCTCACTCAGAAGCCCCAGGGACTTCTTTGGCTGGGGGGCGGTGGCACATGTAGCCCCGATCTGCATGTGCCCTGCGCCGAGTGAGCAAGTGCTCCAAGAGCTGCTAATCCTGTGGTTTGAGTCTGTGCTTTACTCACACCGCCACTGTTCCCAGCTGAAACTCATGGAAAGAGCCAGGTATTTCCCATCTACTTCCTGAGGGCAGAGTGGGTGACCCAGGACCCCACCGCCATTACAGACTGAGTCTCTGCCCTCCGGGCACCGCAGCAGACAGGAGGTCCTCATTCAGAAGCCCCAGGGACTGCTCTGGCTGCGGGGGAGTGCGTGTAGCCCCTCCCTATGCATGCATACCCTGCACCCAGTGAGCTAGTGCTCCAAGAGCTGCTGGTCCAGTGGTTCAAGTCCATACTTTACTCACACTGCCACTGTTCCCAGCTGAAACTCTCAGAGAGAGCCAGGTATTTCCCATCTACTTCCTGAGGGCGGAGCGGGCGACCCAGGACCCCACCGCCAGTACAGACTGAGTCTCTGCCCTTAAGGCACCTGTGGCAGACAGGACACCCTCACTCAGAAGCCCCAGGGACTGCTCTGGCTGGGGGAGGGGGCACATGTAGCCCCTCTCTGCATGCGCCCTGCACCAAGTGAGCAAGTGCTTCAAGAGCTGCTGGTCCTGCAGTTTGAGTCCATGTTTTACTTTTGCCCAGACACCGTAGGGGGTCAAATGCACGGTCAGTCTGTGACTGCTACCCATCTGGCATGCATCTGGTTCCTGTATGTGTCCTGAACTGACCGGATTCACAGAATCAGGTGGTTCACAAACTGTCAATCCTGCAATTTGTGCCTGGGTTTTGCCTGTACCCTGAACTGCCTGGGGACATAGGTCAACTGGACTGGGATTGTCACACCAGTACAACTCGAGTCTGGATCATGCATGTTCCCTGAACTGCAAGGGGACACTGGATCAGACAGTTGGCCATCAGCTGACACCAAGGCCCGCATCTGAGAGCGGGGATAACTAGATACAAATCAACAACTGCCAGAAAACACAAGACTAGGAAGCACTTCTCAGAGGTCACTCAGGGGCAAACCTGACCAACAGGAAAACTAGGGACACTAGTGGCCTTTGCTGTGCAGCTATT